ATGTGGATTTATTATATTCATTATTTTGGTTATATTTAGAAACACCTGCATTCAATTCTATGAGCCTCACTGGCAATATACAGTTACACTTGATAAAAAGATAGCAAAGGGCATGTTAATACACACTTTCCTTTTCAATTGCTGCAATTTGTACTAGTCCCAAAAGAGAACATGCATATTCTATATAATAATGTGAGGGTTAAGCATCAACTCTTCAGTGTGGCCAGAAAAGGAGTCATGTTTCAAACTCTTCTCATAGCTTGAAATCTCAACATTTTTCTGCCAGAGATAAAATTATGTTGCACCTCACTCTACTTTCAATATTTAGACTGAATTCCGGACTGTTTTTATTACACATATATGCACTTGTGGTATTTGACATACTTATCCACTTTTCTCTACATTTATAGGTAGTAGATATTAATATTTATACTTACTCTCATCCAAAGCCAGCTTTGAATTATTTTTTACCATAAAAGGTAGATTTTGAAAATTATATCAAATATCTGTGCAACGACACAATTTGTTTCTAAAGTAATTTTATAAACAGAGCTAACATTTATTGGGCACTTATTACATGGCGGGCAATGTTCAGAATGCTTCTACAGATCATCTTGCTGAAGACTCATAATAACTTCATGAGAATAATACTATTATCCCAATTTTGCATATAAGGAAACTCAAGCACAGAGAGATTAAGCAGCTTTCCCCTGACTATTCAGATAAGGAACAGCACAAGTAGGATTTAAACTCAGGCAATCCGGCAGCAGAGCTAACTACTAGGCTCCTCCTCTTGCTGCCTAATAGTGGGGCATTTTCCTTCTGAAAGGACAGGTGATTAAACACATAAAACACCTGTTATACTGCCTGGAACATGGTAAAAGATAACTAGTAGCCCCCTTGTTAAAAAACATGTGTCCAGCAAAGTGCCTGGCAATATTTTCTGATTATATATACTAGAGGCCCGATGCACGAAAATCGTGCAAGAGTAGGCCCTCACAGTCCCCAGCTGCCTCAAAGCCCTGTGCCCCCTCCCCCACCCACTGGTCATTCTGGAAGGTCGTTCCACCATCCAGTCTAATCAGCATATTAGCTCTTTATTATATAGGATATATATATATATTTTGCTCCCCATTCTCCTGTCCATATCATTTTATCACTTTGCAGATATGAGAATATCTCAGTTTCTCCCACTCTTTCTGCTTCAAAATAATTCTTCAAAATAAATCCCATTTCATTCTGTAAATACTACTTACTGTTTTTAATAATTACGTAAGGTAAGTGGTTACAAGTAACCAGGTTGAAACAGATCACTGGACATTCCTCGTGTTCTGTAAACACACGCTGCCCTGTTAGTGACAGGACACTTCATATCCAAGAATGTTTACAAGCACTTCAGCCTGAGGAGCCGCTTAGTTAACAAAACAGGTGGGTGATGTCATCCGGGGAGCCCAGGGCCCTGCTTCTACTCATTGGGGATACTAAGTTTCTTGAATTTTCCACCACTTGTCCTCACAAATGCCTCTTCTGTCAGCAGTGAAGGGAGACCCAATAGTTCTAGAACTGGGCTAGGCTTGATAATAAGTTTGTTCCAGGCCATTTAAGAGAGAGAGAAAACAAAAAGGAATCCTTTGCAGTGTTTTAATGAAAGGAAAACATGTCAACAAACAGGTTCAAAGGGAAGCATAGCGCCAATACCGAAAAGAAGAAAAAACACAACTTTTGGTTTTGTAATTCAGGCTTCAATAGGAAACGTTTGTTGAGCTGAATCAATAGGAAGAGCCTGGAGCATGGGAGGTCTGGCATCTAGGAGGCCCTGGATATTACAGGGCTCCTGGTTCATGGATCCATGTTGCAAAGCCCAGAATTATGCTGAGGTTGCTTATTTTGAGAAAAGAAGAGGAATTAATGGCTCCAGGGGCTTGGGACTATAAGAGCCATTATTATGGAATAGATAATGCTGTTGAACATCTGCAGCCCTACCAGTGTGTGATTTAATATTCAGTTAATTATATAAAAACTAGAGGCTCAGTGCATGAAATTTGTGCACTGGTAGGGTCCCTAGGCCTCGCCGGCGATCAGGCCAGATCGGGGCCTTCTGGCTGCTGGCCAGGGCCTCCCTTCATTCCGCACCACCCCCTGGTGGTCAGCACACGTCATAGTGAGCGACCGCTCTCCTGGTTGAACCCCCATGGGGACAATTTTGCATATTAGGCTTTTATATATATATAGATGTGGATGCTATGAAAGATAGCCATGTATGTATTACATATCGGTCACACATGGTCCATGAAAGTTAAAGAAGCCTTTTTCTCCTGAAGATTTCCCTTTGACAGATGTGTTTATGCCTCTGCCTGTGATACAGCACACAATGGGGCTGAGAGGCTGAGTTCTCTCAGCATTATACGCCCCCCCCCCCATCCCCGAATGTCGTGAGGTACTCTTACAGCATCCAAAGAAAGGCCTGGCTGTTGCATGTGTATCATGACACAAGTTTCAGTGGCTGCTTTTAGAAAGGGGTGAAATTTGGGATTGAAGGGCACTAGTACAGGAGCCGTTTGAGAGGTGGTATCCTCATCAGTCCTAATTTGGGCCAACAAGTGGCAATGCTATAGCTAGGGTATCTAAAAGCCCTTCCTTTGAGGATGCCTGAGACTAAACTGTGGGGGGGAAAAAAGGTTGAAAAAAAGTGTCTGTTTTCCCCGTACACCAGTATGGCTATCAGTTATTCATACCCCTAAAATAAGGCAAAGTACACTAGTACTTACCATTATAGGGAAAATGACAAGAAGGAGAGAGACACTGATTTCAAAGCAACACTATTGAATGCCCTGTGCTTTTAGATAATGCTAGTTTCACGTTGACCTCTTTTTGCATCAAGGAATAAATATTTGCATCAAAGAATGAAATGTCATTTATTCTATTTATATGGCTTAACAAGCACAAGCTGCCCTGGATGCGGTGAAAGTTTCCTCTCCATAGAAGACCACTACCTGATGGAAAGAGAAACAAATACACTAAAAACTACTCTAGAGACAAGTTCACCCCGATTTTTTTCAGTAAGATAGTAGAGAAAATTGCAGTGAAAGAGAATGCCAGTCCATCTAGTTTAGAGTTGTGGGGCTGGAAAGCGGAGCAAGAGCCACCAAGGAAGCTCTTGAACCCGAGTCAAAGAGAGAACATCAGGTAGATTAGATGTGCAGGGCACAGAAACACCTGCTCGCTCTTAAGTCTCCCCCCCCCCCCCGCCCGAACTATCTGCTTATCTGCAATGCCTGTGTCAAGGCACTGCTGCTAGGAACCCTTGACAAAATGCTAGCCTGTTACTGGAAAGGGATGCTTGCTACTTTAAAACATGGCTCCATCTTTAAATCTTCAGACCACCGACAGAGGACCATAGAAACTTCTGAAAGCATAGTATTCACAGGCAAGACAGAGGACACCTAAAGGGCTCTACCAAAAACTCTTTGCAACTTTACAGTTTGAGACTTCTGAGACTTCTGTAATTCACTATGATGACCTTTGACAGGGCAGTAGAGAAAGTCACAGAGACGTTGCTAATCCAGCTCCCCATCCCATACCTTGTTGAATGAAATACTATCTGTTATCTCCAAACATAGGACAAAAGTAAAGAAATTTTCAGTACACCCTCATTATGGCTAATGAAAGGTAATTAAGGTGAATCCGATCAGCAGTGTCTTATTATAGAAGCATGCACAGGAATGGTCAGTAGCCAAACAATTACTCTCTGTTCAATTTCTATTTTGCTCAAAACCTGCTTGAGGTCATTGCCAACATGCCAGGTTCTGAAATGCTATCGGTGATGCCAATAAGAAGACGAGGCAAATTTTGTTTTCTTCCTGCAAGGAACAGGCAAGTACTTCTGCTTTATCTTCTTCAGCCACAGTATTACCAAGGGCTATTCAATTAGTTCTTCAGAAGTACTGTATAAAAAGTGCTGGGGGATGCTCTATGTGACTTATGGCAGTAAAAAAAGTAGTCTTTATATTTGTCCCCTTCCTCTTTTTTAAGCATCTTTTTCACTCAATCACTCATAAACAACTATTTACTTAGGAAGCCTCCTCTGTCCAAGACAATATCTAAAGCATCAGCTCCTATCAGCGAAATCTAAGGTGAAACTGTCATTCATGTCCGCGTTGATTATCAAATGCAAGATTGGTCTCTAGAAAGCCTCAACTGTCATTTCATTCTATTATGTAAACAGTAAGCAGCTGGGTTCAAAAATTCAGGTAAGCTTTTGCTTTGGGCATCTCTTGGGACCTAAATGGACCATATGTTTATTTATCAAGGAGCTCCTCAAAACTAGAACTAAGCCGAAAGTTTGAGAACTTATTTGGAACAGACCTGATTCCTGCAACCGGGCTAGATTTTATCTGCTTCACTGGCCTCTAGGAATCCCTGATCGGAGTTCCAATCCCGCAGGAATGAATCAGGAGGAAGGAACGCACACACCGAGACTCCACACCTCCCGCCCCTCTGCCCAAAATACCTAAACTCAACCGCTCAGGCGGCCTCTCTCTACGGGTTCTTCCCAGCCCCGCACACCCCTGGGAGAACCGTTCCCGCTTCTCTCGCTAGAGGGCAGGCGGGGCCCGTGCAAAGCCCTCCAGGCTCCGGACACGCGCGCACCAGCCTCCGCTCCAGCACTCCAGGTCCCGCTCCCGGGCTCGGCACGGCTAAGGCGCTGGTAAAAGGCCGCACCTGGGAGCGCTGTCCATCCCGGACCCTCGGAGAGCGCGATCCCGGGCTGCCACCCCTAGCCCCGCGCGCCGGGTGCGGGCGCCCAGGTGGGGCTGGGCGCCCAGGTAAGGGGCGGCGCCATGGAGGGAGTGAACCGCCCCGCTCGGCAAACGCCCGGGAGCTGGGCCAGGCGCCCCGAGCGCGGGGCGCGGGCGGGCGAGAGAAAAGCGAAGGCACCGGTGGAGGAGAAGGAGGAGAAGGAAGAGGAGGATCGCGGAGCCCTGGTGCGGCGCACTCACCTGGGCTCGAGCCGCCCGCCGCGGGCGCGGGCTTCTTGCCGGAGCCTCGGTCCTTCTTCTTGCCCTTCCCCTTGCCTCTGCCTTCTTTGCGCTCGGACATCTCGCCAGAGAAGTGCGCGCTCTCCGAGGACGGCTGCGGACGACGACGCGCGACAAGTTTGGTCCGAGGGCTGGAATCGGGTTTGGGAAAAGTTTGTCCCTCGAGGGGTAGAGCGACCGGGCTGCGGCGCTCGCGCAGCGCACGGAGCGTCTCCGGTGCTTCGGGAGCAGCGCGGACGCGGCGTGCGGTCCGGGCCACCTGGGACTGGCGATCGCCTGGCTCCCGGGGCTGCTCCTGTCGCCGGGGAAGTCCGCTGTTCTCGCCGCACCGGGTCCCGCCGCTGCCGGCTCCTGTCCTGGCCTCTGCCCGGCGTGCTTGCAGCCCGAAGGGGAGAGGGTTCACTGTCCAGCCCGCGCTCCCCTGCCCAGGCAGCCACCGCTCTGCGACCGCCCTCCGCGCGAGCCCGGAGTTCCAACAAGTTTTGGGGAACTCCTCGCCGGCTCTTTTTCAATTGCCCCACAGCCACCCACCTCCCGCCCGCAGGTTGGAGGCTGGCGCCTCCTTCTCACCCTCCCCTTCCCGCGCCCCCTCCCTCTTCCCTACCACACCCCCACCCCGAGGCGCGGACACGCCACCGGGAGGAGCCTGGGCTCGGCGCTCCCGGGCGCAGCCCCTTTCTCTCCCCGAGCCCGGCGGGGCCAGCGGGCGGGGGGCGGCCACGCGCCCCGCGGCTGCAGGGAACTCCCGACAGGGGTCGCTGGAACCTGCGCGGAGCAGCCGCCGCCGCCGCCGCCGCCGCGGGAAGCGACCCGAGCGGCGCTGGGAGAGCGAAGGACCGAGGGCAGGACCCAGCGGCCCGCGCTCCTCGCTCTCCTGAGCCAGGCAGCGCCCCGAAGGGTCGGTCCGTTCCCGTTAATGCAGAGAAATGTTGGAGACAAAAGTTTGCAACTCTGACACCTGTCCCCCACATGAAGGCTCAGGAGCCCCTGGGAAGGAGAGGAGTGTTTGCTGTTTTCCCAGGAGAGTCTGAGGTTCATTCCTTTCTTACTTTAGTGAGTTACACGCACGTCGGGCCAAGATAACTCCGGGTGGAAGGGAGTGTGCGTGTAAGGCAGTCCTGGGTACACAGGAAGGGCGCTCAGTGAACCTTAAAGGCGGTCAGATCGCACCTTCTTCGGAGATCTGCTGTTGAATGTGGGTGTGCGCGCGTGCCTGCCCTTTCTTCGGGGTTTTAACAACGTGCCTGTTAAACCTCACCTTCTGCTTTTCCTAAAATAAATAATAATAACCTGACTTCTTCAAAGGGGGTGTCCTATACTGTCTCTCACTACGACTTAATTTCACATGAACTGCAAACCCCCGGTTAAAAGGCGATCAACAGTTAAATGTCTGCACTACCTGCGCGTCACTCAGCTGAGATGAGTGAAAGCAGGGAGGGAGAGTGGAGAGCGGAGAGCAGTGCAGGAGCTCTGTAATTCCTTAATGCTAGCTTTCTCTGACTCCAGCTTCCTCAGGACTGCGGGCGAAGCCTGCTTCCCGTCCCTTGTCCTCCCTCTGGTGGAGAATTCCAAAGAGCAGTGAGATCCAAAAAACGTTCGCAGCCAGCTGCACAGGACAAAAGTTAAAGGCCAGAGTGACCTGCACCACAGAATGATCCAAAATCATGTCCAGAGAACATTCTCATAGCTATATCACAGCTGTGATGTAACTTCCAATGTTGATTTACAGGGATGGATTTGTGTTGTGGTCAGGAAGAGGTGAGCATGAACAATCCATAGATGAAATTAAGGTATTCCACTTTAAAAGTGACTTGCTCCTGATTTTCCATTCTGTGGGGTTAATGCTAACTGAACCATTATCTACATACAGACCTTCTGGGTATATTTTTTGAATTGCCACAATTTAAATAAAGTTGAAATCCGAGGTGCCTCCTTGTATGTGAGAAGGGAAAGGGGGAGGGGGCAAAAATATTCATTTTGAAACTGACCTAAAATAAGAATAATTTTATTCATTTAATTTGCATTATAATAAGGATCAGACTGTTTTGGTGGCTTTTAGTTGTTAAAAGATGTCTGATCAGTACTACCATCATTATTTTTGAAAAAGTTTGATATTAAAATGTTTTCTGATAGCCTTTCAACAAAAATATACATTTTACTGAGCTATGAAAAAACAGAAAAACCAGGGAAAAAAGATTATGACTGTATCTGAATTGCACTATAATATTCCACAAATTCCAGTGTAAAATGGAGCCCAACGTTGGCTGAAATAACTCTGCTTTCCCAGGAGGGGACACTGCTCAACAAGCAGGAAACAGCAAAATTCAGAAAAGGGGAGTCCTTTCTAAAAGGGTACTTCATCTCCAGGGTGTGAGACCCTGTAAGGGCTTCATACAAAATCGCTGCATGTTATCAAATACAGTATATCACTGCTTTAAAATTGAAAGATGTAAAGGAAACCATACTTTGGCGTCTATAAAAAGTTTCAGATCTTACCAAAAAGCAGGAAGCCAGTAGTAAAACCCAGAGCTATGGAAATACTATCATTCAGTCACTTTTGTATCTGGATGTTTTACTTCACGGAACAGCCTATTAATTCCTATCACAGTCATTTTTCAGTGAGGTAAATGGAAAATCCCACAGTTTTGTGGTAATTTTCCATTGGAACAAATCTATAGTAGTAGATGACAGTTTTCCCAAACCAAGCACCAATGACTTACAGGAACACTTGCTGATATGTGGTACCTTTATAATAAAACATGGCAGCCACTAAGTAATATCAGGGATCCCATGGAAAAGCGCAGGCCTAGAGAATGAACAGATATGAAGGGAAGGAGATGGATATAAATAAGCATTCAATAATTGTTTTTCCTTGGTTTGATGTGTTGGGGGAAAAAGAGGACAAAAAACACAATGATAAATGTTGAAGAAACTTTAAAGAATGGTGATGAAGCGGCAGTTGGATGACAAGGTTGCTTCCTGGGACTTTGTTCAGATTCTGGAGTCATATTTTAATTGCCAGTTGCCACTGACTTCTCAGGAAATTGATGGCAAAATCCAAATTTTTTTTTTCTAATACATTACTTATAAGTCTTTATCCTGTATGTTACCACATGTTAATTTTTTCAGTAGCTTATTTTGTTACATCATTTATGACTAGCTAAAAGATTAACCAAATAAAAGTCCATTACTTAAGTTAAAATATTTGTGATTTGTCAAGAATTTGAGATTGTTCTTATTAAATTCTTCATCTCTGTGGTTGGGAAGTAGCAAATGAATTTTCAAAAGCACACCTTGGAAATGATTAGAAGAAGAGATGGAGAAAGGAGGAAAATATTTTTATTTTTTGAAAATAAAAATATTAACCTCTATTGTCTAATTTAGGAAGGACGACATATCTTCATGGTATAATTTTATGAATTTGTTGTGTACTACTCAACTCTTAGAGTGTGTATCATAGAGGGTGTGTTGACTATAGTAACATACATCAAGCTGTCAACTATGTCAACTCCTGAAAAACAGAGTGGAGATTTATAAATAAGCAACTTGAGAAATAAAGACAAAATGGATATCTTACATTAAAGGACAGCTTAAAATAAGTGCAATCATGCTCCATAACATTGTTTTGTTGGCTAGGATTAACTTTTAGGAGTGTCCTCAAAATCTACAAAGTTGACCATTTCTGAAGATACTCCAAGAAAATTTTATAAAGAAAAAAATAAATAAAATGAGAGAACATTAACATGGGAAGATAGATTCCATTTTTGCAAAATACTGTGCACTTTAACAAAAATGAAAATTTAATCTATGATTCTGCAAATAGATGCTTTTAACTTTTAAAATGAAGTAATTTAAGGTAATTTACATAAAGATTACTCTTTTAAAAACTTTGCAACAAAGTTGGCATTAATAAAGATGCACAAATGCAAGAAAAGATCTCACTAAGCAGAGCCAGCTCCAAACAACCACTAAATGTGCTTGGCTCATTCATTCATTCATTCATTCATTCATTCATTCATTCACCAAGCAGTTATCAAAATAAGTGCTAGATAGCAGAGAAACAAACAAGCAAGAATCACCCCTATTCTCATGAAGCTAAGTATTATGAGAAAGCTAGAAAAACAAATTAATTATTATACTACAAATGCAAAGCAGCAACAGATAAGTTTTCCAGGGCCTGAAGCTCATAAAATTTGGGAGATGTTCTTAAAGGAAAAGAACACAAAATTAAAAATGCAAATTTGAGTCCAAGAACATTAAAGGGGGCCCTTGGATGTGAGAGGCCCTGAAGAGTAGGCTTCATAGCTTTACTGGAAATTCATCTCTAGTGGTTCAAAGCATATTCCACCAGCTGCACAATTACAGTCATGATAAAGCACAATTCTATACTATCTTAGAGATTAGATAATACTATCACTATAATTAGGAGACATTAACAAACAATCCAAAGAAATACACACAAAACTGAAACAGGCAAAGAGTATCTATCATGTGAGGAAAATGAGATGCATTTGAGCCTTAAGAATTCACCGATTAGCAATTGTTCTTTATGTTTAGACTCTTAGAACCAACATGCAATATGATTTTGTTCAACAAAGGGCTTCTGACCAACAATATGCTCTGGCAAAACTGGAAATGGTGCCCTCCATTACATTTGGCAAATATTTAACAGAATTACTAATTAACCATATTCTGTCTGCTATGAAGTCAGTTTGAGAACAAAATTGTGAGTTTAGAATCCTAAGATAAATATTAAAAAGGTAATGTTCAAACCACATTAAAATGAAATCTGTTTGTTTTTCTGCTTGTTTGTGTGATTTTTAAAAACTACTACTCACTGCCCTGGCTGGCGTGGCTCAGTGGTTGAGCATTGACCTATGAACCAGGAGGTCATGGTTCGATTTCTGGTCAGGACCCATGACCAGGTTGGCATTCAGGAGGCAGCCAATCAATGATTCTCTCTCATCATTGATGTAGCTATCTCTTCCTCTCCCTTCCTCTCTGAAATCAATTAAAAACATATTTATTTATTTATTTATTTTAAATATTTATTGATTTCAGAGAGGAAGAGAGAAGGAGAGAGAGATAGAAACATCAATGATGAGAGATAATCACTGATCGGCTGCCTCCTGCACACCCCCCACTGGGGATTGAGCCCGCAACCCAGGCATGTGCCCTTGGCCGAAATCGAACTCGGGACCCTTCAGTCCACAGGCCAACACTCTATCCACTGAGCCAAGCCGGCTAGGGCAATTAAAAACATATTTTAAAAAAATAAAAATTACTACACACTGACGATTGTTATTTTTGTTATTTATCATCATTACTGATAAAATTACTCTCATGATTGTAGGGATACAGCATAGATTAAAAATGGATTTTATAGTTGAAGATTAGTGCCTCATTTCTTTTTATGAATTCTATTTTACAAATAGAGCCAGTATCCTAAGTCTCTTCTGTAATAAGGTGAAGCTATAAGACTTAATAGTTTTTGAAACATTTTAAGGAGAAACAATCTTATGCATCTTTTCGATTTCACTTCCTCACTCTCAGAGTAATTATTTATTTTTATC